AATAAAGCTTTGAAACCACAAACATCATTCATATTCTTTGCAGCAATTAGTATATCATCAACATACATTAACAGAAAAATAATATAACGATCATCAAGACTCTTCACATAAACACAATAATTATACTCACATCTTTTGTAGCCAATCTGAATCATGTAGAATTCAAACCGCTTGTACCATTGTCTTGGAGACTGTTTAAACCCATACAACGATTTCTTTAACCTACAAACCAGATGCTACTGTCAATGTTGAGTGAAAACTTCTGGCTGTTCCATGTAAATCTGCTCATCCAAATCACCATGCAATAAAGCAGTTTTAACGTCCATCTGCTTCAAATGCAAATCCCAAATGGCTATTAATGCAAGCACTGCCCTAATTGAAGTATGTTTGACAACAGGAGAAAAGATTTCATCATAATCTATCCACTTATGCTGTGAAAATCCCTTTGCTACCAGTCGAGCCTTGAACTTTTCCCATTTTTTTCTGATACTGCAGGTTTCCTTTTTTACGCCCATTAGCACCCAATAATCTTTTTTTCCCTCAGGGAGCTGAACTAGCTCCCATGTGCGATTTTTCTGCAAAGATTCCATCTCCTCAACCATTGCACCCATCTATTTCTTTTTCTCATGACTAGTGATAACTCCTTGAAAAGTGGCTGGATTATCGCTGGTGATGAGAAGTGCAGAAGAGACCAAGTCTTCATAACTCAATCTGCTAGAAGGTGTTATGGTGTGTCTCTGTCTGTCTCTGACTAAATTATAATTCTGCAAATCATCTGGAATGAAATCACCAGGTGTTTAATTTCAACCTTCAACTCTCTCAATTGTTTCTGGATGTTGTTCTAAATCCATCTGCACTGCATCTGAATTGGAATTGTTCACTGACACCTTGTCTTGATTTTGCTCCAACATGGACTGTTCATGAAAAAAACTGCATCTCCGCTGATCACTATTTTCTTTGCAATCGGATCTCAAAACTTGTATCATTTTACACCTTTCTTATAGCCCAGAAAGATGCACTTCTTAGATTTTACATCAAGTTTTGATCTTTCATCTCCAGGTACATGCACATAAGCAGGACAATTAAAAATCCGTAAATGATCAAAATTAACTGGATTACCTATCCATACCTCTTTTGTGACCTTGCCACCCAACGATTCCCGAGGTGGTATATTGATGAGATAACATGTCATGTTCACAACCTCTGCCTAGAAACTCTTAGGAAGCCCTGAATTCAGTCTCAAGCATCTTGCCCTTTCAGTTAAGGACTTGTTCATCCTTTCTGCAACACTATTCTGTTGTGGTGTCTTACGCACTAAAAAATGCCTCTGAATTCCATGCTCCTTGCAGAACTTCTGAAATTATAAATATGTGTACTCTGAGTCATTATAGGATCTCAAATATTTGATTTTTCTGCTAGTTTGGTTCTCCACTTCAACTTTCCACAACTTGAATTTAGAGAAGTCTTCAGATTTCTGTTTCAAGAAATACACTCAAACTTTCCTGGAGAAATCATCAATAAAGGTAAAAAAATACTGAGATCCTACTAGTGATAATTCTCTGGTAGGGCCTCATACATCAGAATGCACATAATCAAGAATCCCTTTAGTTTTATATTTTCCAGTCATAAAACTGACTCTAGTCTGTTTTCTAAGAACACAGAACTTACAATATCAAACTTACAGCTTTTAACACCATGCAACAGGTTTCTTCTATGCAATTCTGTCATCCCACGTTCACTGAGATGACCTAGACGCATATGCCATAGCTTTGTACTATCATCATCTGACTCCACATAATGAAATCCTCCTACAACTGTACTCCAACTGTACTCCCTAACAGTCTGTAGATATTACCTGCAGTTAACTTTCCTTTCATCACCGTCAGTGCATCCTTAACAATTCTGATGGTTTCTCTATCCTCATATGCCTTATGAATGAAACTATTTTTATGTAAAGTGTCCAAGAAAATCAAACTATTCTTCAGATCTAGAATATGTCTGACATCACATAACGCTCTAACTCTGTCATCATACATCTTAATTCTGATTTCTGCAATATCAACAATATTGCAACATCTATCATCACTTAGATAAATTGAGCCAGAATTAGTTGACATGTATGAAGTAAACCACTCCCTGTTAGGTGTTATGTGATAAGAGCATCCTGAATCAAGAATTCATGCATCCGTGAATTGAGTTGATGAAACTGAAAGCATATCGCCATCACTGCAATCTGAATTGTCACTCTGCACCACATTTACAGACTTCGATGATTCATCACATTTCTCCCCAATCTGCTTCTTGAGCTTTGAACAATCTTTCTTCATATGAACTGACTCCTTGCAATTGTAGCAATAAATTGTCTTTCTGTCTTTGGACTTGGATTTGGAATTTTGTCTTCTAGAACCCTTCTTCTCTTTCTTTCTTCCACAATTCTTCTTACCTTTAACATATAAACTCTCGACATGTGAGTTTTCCTCTACATTCTGCTTCCGTTCGTTGTGAGTCAACAATGCTGTAGTGATCTCATCAACTTTGATAGTTTTTTTCTCATATGTAAGAGTAGTCACCGGGTGTTCATAGGAAACAGACAGTGAACACAACAAAATCATTGCTCTGTCTTCATCCTCAATAATCACATTAAATTGTGATCAATCTGTGATTATTTGATTGAAACCATTAACATACTGCACCAGATTAGAATCTTCTTGCATCTTCAGCCCATATAACTTTTGTTTTGGATACAATTTATTCGTCAGAGATTTAGTCATAAACCGAGTTTCAAATTTCTTTCATGCCTCCCTCGAGATTTCAGATTCATCACAGGATACATAACCTCATCTGTCGGACATAAACGTATGATTACTATCGCTTGTTGTTGCAATTCTTTCCAATTTTTATCATCCATGACATCTGATTTTGCTGCTCGTAAAGCTTTCAAGATTCTCTATTGAGCCAACATATCTTTTACTCTTGTTTGCCACAATCCAAAGTTACCAGTTCTATCGAACTTCATCACCTTGAATTTTGCACCATATTTGAAATTGATCATGCAATAAATTATTCTGCAATTACTTGCTCAGAGTCTTTCTTAAAAAAAGGATTGAAAAAAAATTCTCTTAATTAAGTTTCCTTAATTAAATATTTTTTTTTCAGAAAAACAATAATTTTTTTTGAAAAGAAAAGATTGAAATATTTTCTTAATTAAACTTCCTTAATTAAGTCTCTCTTAATTAAAATATTTTCTTTAATTAATTAAATTTCAAAAACTTTCCTTTCTTGAAGCCTCCAGCAAAGAAAATTCATTATAATTCCTCTTCCGCTCCAGAAGGAAATATTTCCTTTAATTAAATGAATTTTAGAAACTTTACCTTTTTCAACCTCCGTTATTTCCATCAGCAAAAGGAATAAAATCGGAGCTTCCAATTTCCTTCTCTGCAGTCGCCTCCCGCAAAGGAATGAGATCGGAGCCAATTTTCTTGCACCTCTAGCAAAGGAAATCAATCTTCCGCTTCAGAAACCAATATCCCGCTTCCAGGAAGCAGCAAGAAACAAATCGGACCCGAACCTCCCGCTCTTCAGAAACCGACAAGGAAAGAATCTCCCGCTGAAAAGGAATTTTCGAACCAGCAATCTCCGCAACAAACCTTCCTTTTGTGCGGTGATCGAGAGCTTCTCCCGGTCGCGAACTCCATCTCCTTCGATAGAAATCGCCGCGACCGAGAAAATTGTCGAAATTTGAAGCCCTTCACCGAACCAGATTGGCAATCGCCTCTGAATCCTCCGCCTTCCTTCGCCTGTCACCATGTTGTTCCGCCGAACCGTCTGAATCTTCGTCCAGAACCGATCGCAGAAGAACGAAAACCGCACCTTCGAACAACTTCGAACTGCACCGAATCTTGGCCTCCGAAAATTTTTCCCTGCGCTAGAACCTCATTCCGTTGAACTCCTCTGCACCGAGATTTCTCGTCTGCCATAGAACCAGGCTCTGATACCACTTGTTGAAAAATTAGGGCGAGGAAAAACAAAATCGACACAAATCTAGAAGAACATAGAGAGATTTAACAAGATTCGGCAAAGATGCCTACCTTCTCGGGAGCAGAGCGGCGGCTTTTTCACTAATCCGAAAAAAGTGTACATGATACAGAATATGGGATAACACCTAGGGTTACATACATGCTTATTTATAACCCTAGAAAACCCTGGAGTACAATATGTAATTACCAAACTGCCTCTGTAGGCCAAATTGCCCTTGTACCACACCCCTAACCCACATAAGGAAACTCCCCTGATTTGGACAGAATCTTTCGCTCCGCTCCGCTCCGCTCCGCTCCGCTCCGCTCCACTCCAGCATCTCTCTTGTATGGTATATGAGCCATACCTAACATGATCCTAAAGCTTTTTTGATACACAAGCGTCTTTATGTGTGTGTGCGCGCGCGCCATAAACTTTTCAAATTCTTATCTCCGCGGAACGAGAGATTCTGTCCCTCATATGGTATATGAGCCATACCTAACATGATCCTAAAGCTTTTCTGATAACAAGCGTCTTTGTGTGTGTGTGCGCGCGCCATAAACTTTTCAAATTATTATCACATATATTATATTAATGTTGTCATATTTAATAGAAATTTTAACTATTCATGGGAATAGATGATCCGATACTAGAGTATTGATTGTTGGGTTAATATAACAATCTCAAATTTTGGTAAGCTAATGAGTTTTTGGGATCCCTTTTATTTTTTATTTTAATTTTATTTTTTTAATAAAATATTTCTAACATGTTTGATTAATACATTATTGTCTATAGGAACAATCAATACATCTACAAATTATTGGAGCTTTAAAAATATGTTAAATTATCTTTAAAAATAAAAATAAAAATATATAAAAAATACACAAAATAATTATATTTAAAAAAAAATAAATAAAATAAAATACCAAACTGAACCCAAATAAATCTTAAAGAAATATATACAAACCACCCCTTCCCACCCCATTTCCCTCTCCCCATTCAAAAATATCTCCCCCGCCTGAAATTCCGATCGGCGATAGCACAGCCAGAACCCCGACGGTTACTCCGAAATCTCCGGCAATCGGAGCGTACGTTGATTCGCAGCAACAACGCGCAGTATTCCTTGGAGCTATTCTCCAGGTTCTTTTACTGGCTTTCTTCTCCCATTCCTCGTCTTCGGATCTTTCGTCATTCTCTCTGTTATCAGATCTCATAAGCTCAAGAAGGCAGTCTTCTTGAAGGAATTCGGATGTGGCCGAATAATGAGAATCAGAGAGGAAACTCTCCTCCTACGTTCCAGCAGCTTCTGATCGGCAATGCGGGCAATGCTAATCAGCAGTCAACGGCGGGAACCCAAGCGGCTAACGTTGTCTCCGGTACTGGAAGGTGGAGCAGCAATGTTCCCTTGTCTTCCATCGCAACGGCGGCAATGGTCCTGCATCAGCAAACAGGTTTCCCTAATCTAACTCCCGCGTTTGCGCCGATTTCCTCTACCGTCGGATTACCTATGTCCATCGATCAGAGGAACCGGGCGTTCGAATTTTGTGACGCGAGTACGAGCTGCAGGCCAAAGAAGGCTTCCAAGCAGCCTGGCTACTCTTTCTCGCAGCAGATTCCTTCGCTAATGGGAGATTTTAACGTCGAAGTTGATGCGTTGTTAAACAATTTCGTATGTAGATTTCTATCATCTATTTTGTTTCGTTTTTTTTTTTTTCTACACTGTTCTTGGATTGAAATTTTTGTTTGATTTCTGTTGTTTCAATTCCGAAATAGATTAAGACGATTAATGATAGAGTTCAGCTATCGCAAATGAGGTACTTGAAATCGATGGTTGCTTACATCGAGCAGATGGCATCGAAGCGTATTCAAGAAAAGGAAGCCGAAGTGCAGAACGTGAATTGGAAAAATTCTGTGCTGGAGGAGAGGATTTTGAAATTGTGCTTCGACAACAATAATTTGGAAAATCGTGCCATTCAAAATGCAATATTAGTCTCCCAGCTCAAGGCGACCCTAAAACAAGCTAAGGCAGCGCCTCCGCTGGCGGGGCTTCTGCCGGCGATCGAGGGGATGGGCGATACTGACGGGAAGCC